TGCATCGGGCCTCTAGTCATAATATAAAAGAACATTCTGATGTCTTTGCTAAGACTTTCAAGGAAGCCTTGAAAACATCACAGCAACATTTGTAACAAATAATGTGCTCAGCTGTACCACTCATAGTTTCTTCTATTATTAACATTTCACATTGGTGTGGTACATTTGTTGTAATGGATGAACTGAAATAAATATGTTATAATGAACAAAAGTCCATAGTTTACATCAGGATTCACTCTTGGTATTGTACAGTTCTATAGGTTTTGACAAATTGTGTCATGTATCCGCTGTTACCATGTCATACAGAATAGCTTCGCTGCTCTAAAAATCTCCTGTGCTTCACTTAATCATCCTACCCCATCATCCCCAACCCCTGGCAATCGCTGATCTTTTTATTCCAAAACTGTGCCTTTTCCAGAATGCTATAAAGTTGGAATCATATAACTATGTGGCCTTTCAGATTGGCTTCTTTCACTTAGCAATATGCAATTAAGGTTCCTTCATGTCTTTTTGTGGCTTGGTACTACATTTTTTTTCTTTCTTTTTAATATAATTTTTATACAATTTTAGGTTTATAGCAAAAATAGAAAGGACAGAGTTCCCTTATGCTCCCCATTTACACAGCTTTCCCTATTACCAACACCCACTCCAGAATGGCACACTTGTTACATCCTTGACGGCATATGATGTATGGCATCTTTTCATACACTATTTGCCTCCTGTATATCTTTATTGGTGAGGAGTCTGTTTAGATCTTTTGACCATTTTTTAATTGAGCGGTTTGATTTTTTTATTGCTGAGTTATAAGAGTTCTTTGTATATTTGGACATGTCTTTTATCAAATATGTGTGTTACAAATATTTTCTCCAAGTCTTATTCTCTAACATTGTCTTTCACAGAGCAGACATTTTTATTTTATTTTCATGAAAAAACTTACCATTTTTTTTGTCCATGCATCATGCTTTTGGTGTTGTAGCTAAAAGGGTGTTTAAATATCTGGGAAGCAAGATTTTAAGAGATCATTGGACTCCAGAAGGAAGCTTGAAAATCCTAGGGAGATGTCATGAGTGGGACTTTTAGCATCTGAAGGTGGCTGCTGGCTCTGCATCAACCTAAACCATAAACACCAAATATCTGTAGACCTTCCCTGACTCTCCATCAGTGCACTTGGACTGACCATGTCATCGCTTCCATCTTCTCGCGTGGACTCCACCAGTTTGACCTTTGTGAGAAGGAAAGATTTAGATTTCGTTTTTGGATATATCATTGCTTCTTAATTCTTGATGATTTTCTAAGGCTAACAAAGTATTTAAGTCTTTCCAACAAAATTGTTCAGCCAATCCAGTCTTCCTAACACGGAAATAGAGATAAACAACTCTGGTTTATTTTTTAAAAATATTTAAAAAATGATGCTCAACCTCTGAGCCACACCGGTCGGGCTCTGATTTATTTCTTAAAGATGGTAAGTTATATATTGTTAAGAAAAGTTCTTTGCCCTACCAGTGGTTGGCAAACTGCGGCTCGCCAGCCACATGTGGCTCTTTGGCCCCTTGAGTGTGGCTCTTCCACAAAATACCACGTGCAGAAGCGCATGTACAGTGCGATTGAAACATCGTGGCCCATGCGCAGAAGTTGGTATTTTGTCAAAGAGCCACACTCAAGGGGCCAAAGAGCCGCATGTGGCTCACGAGCTGCAGTTTGCCGACCACTGTCCTAACCGGTTTGGCTCAGTGGATAGAGCGTCGGCCTGTGGACTAAAGGGTCCCAGGTTCGATTCCGGTCAAAGGCATGTACCTTGGTTGCGGGCACATCCCCAGTAGGGAGTGTGCAAGAGGCAACTGATCAATGTTTCTCTCTCATTGATGTTTCTAACTCTCTATCCCTCTCCCTTCCTTTCTGTTAAAAAAAAATCAATAAAAAATATTTAAAAAAAATTTCTTTGACTCTAACATAAGAAACTTCAAATTGGCAATGACATTTGTAAGAAAGAATTTTTAAAAAGCAAGTTACAACTGATGTGGACGTGTAGTGATCGCGATTTCCCAGGTACCCTTGTTTAACCATAGACCCCATTCTTTTATATCACGCAACTTTGGTGATTGTCACTTACAGCATTTACCTTCCTGACCTCATACTGCTGTGGCTGGCTTGTTTGTAACTATTTCACAGAATGTCTGACAGCCCATCTTGTACTAATGTTATTTTTCAATCTACCTCAAATGTGGGCTCCTTTGAGGCAGGAATCAATGCTTTTCACTACTCAGCCCAGAATTTTCCATGTAGCAAGCCTCAATAAGTGCTGTTGAGTTCATTTGTTAAATCTTTATCCAATAATACTTACAGAGTGCTCAAGAGAATTACATTTTTGAGGAGCCACACTTATGAAAAGAATATAGGGAAATGAAGGTTCAGGGAAACCATCCCAAATTCCCCAAATGCTGAAATATAAGATAAAGGAGGGGAAAAGAAAGAGCATGTTGGTGATGTTCAACTGTATGTAGGAATTATGTTGAGCAGGATTGTTCTTCATTTCCCCAAAGATTAAGGGAAGAAGGAAATGTAGGTAAAATAAAGATTCAGGAAGCATGGAAGGAAGAATCTTTGACTTTAGGAATCTTGGTGGTGGTAAGCAGAAGGCAGGGAAAAAAAGAAACTGGTTTTCTCTTAAAGGACACAAAGCTTTGTTAACTTAATTAAGTCCCAACAAAGGGAACACCCAAATGCTGAAGACTGGTCAGCCACATGGTAGCCAGGTTTCCATCCATGTGCCCTTGGGTGAAATTAATGTGCAATGAGCAAGTCCTTGATTGCAAGAGAAACTCAAATCAGTGCCTCTTCCTTCCTTATGGGTTCTATGCAAGACAGTGAGTGGTAGGAGCAATAGCCATGATTAATGTAAAAATACTGCCTAACCTCTCTTCTGGAAATCAGAGGCAAGGACAAAACACTCTTTTGAAGGGGTCTCTTGAAAATTTGCAACATTCTATATAATAAAAGGCTAATATGCAATAGACCGAACGGCGGAACAACCGAACAACTGGTCGTTATAACGTGTGCTGAAGACCAGGGTCATGTGCAGAACATGGTGGGTGTTGACCGCAGTGGGATGGTAGAGCAGGTGAGCGGGGGTGCCAGACCAAGCGGGGCACGGTTGCTGTCATTGGGATGAGCCTCTAATGGGTTACTGAAAATTCTTTGCTCCCATGTGCTGTGGTCCCGCCCAGTGCTCGCACCTGCTGCCGGTGCCCAGTGCTGGCCCTGATCACTCGGCACTGTCAGTGGGTGCGAGCAGTGACTGCCGGCCCCGATTGCCCCTCAGGGCTTCTCTACCTCCTGCTGTTCTTGAGGGGCGATTGGGGCAGCAGCTGCAGCTCACACCTGCTGCTGGTGCCGGCCCCAATCGCTCTGCGCCATCAGCGGGTGTGAGCGGGGCTGGTGCCATCAGGGTGTGGGAGTGGTGGTGGCGGGAGCAGGGCTGCCGGCAGACAGGGGACCGGAGGCCACAGAGAAAGGGGCTTGGGCAGGGGCATGGAGGATGGGCTGAGACCCGCCCCTGTGCCCACCGCAGCCTTGCGGCCTGCAGTTCCTTTCAAGGTGCACGAATTCATGCACTGGGCCCCTAGTCTTATAATCATAGCTCATGTATGGAGCCTTTGATATATGGGAAGGGATATAGGGGACCAAATGAGGTAAGGAGGAGCTAGTGTGAGCACCAGTTAGCAGTTGAGGATGTAGCAGTTCTGTGAGGTCACCTACATGGCTAGCCAAGTCTCTTAGCCAATGAGTGCGAGACCCAGGCACTGATCCCAGATTTCTATCCCGGTCCAGAGCTCTTGACCCCCACTATCTTGCCCAATGACCTTTGGATGTGAGACCTGCCTAAACAAGTCCTTGGTCAACCCCACTGGCTCCTGGTTTTCTACGATTGGCTTGAATGCCAGTTCCAAGGTCTGGGCCCACTGTGGCCAGAAGAACCTCTGCAGCTGCTCTCAACCTTGGCTGCACATTAAAACCACCTGGGAAATTTTTCAAAAATGTTGATGCCAGGGGTCCACCCCTAAAGATTTTGATTTAATTGATTTTCAGTGCAACGTCAGCATAGACATTTGTGTTTAACTTTTTATTGAAGTACATTATGCATGTAGAAACGTGCTCAGGCTGTCAGTATACATTGCAATGAATTTTTACAAACTGAAGGTACCTGTGTAACCACCACCCAGCTCAAGAATCAGAATGTCACAAGCACGCACCAGGCTCCCTTCTAGTCTCTCCTCCTCCCCGCCTCGCCCACTGTCCAACCACTATCCAAACTTCTAACAGCATAGATAGTTTGGGCCTAGAGGTTTTTTAAAAGAAGAATCTTCTAAAATGTATTTATATTGATTTCAGAGATGAAGGGAGAGGGAGAGAGAGATAGAAACATTAATGATGAGAGAGAATCATTGATTGGCTGCCTCCTACATGCCCCCCACCAGGGATCGAGCTCACAACCCAGGGCATGTGCACCGACTGGGAATTGAACTGTGACCTCCTGGTTCATAGGTTGATACTCAACCACTGAGCCACACCGGCTGGACTGGCCTAAGATTTTTAAAGCTCCCCAAATGATTCTAATGTGCAGCTACCACTGACTATTGTCTTACTGGTTGAAGGTAGGATGAACTAAATCAAATGCATAGATACAGGTAAACCAATATGAAAGCAAATAAGAACTCCAAGCTATACTTTCACATTAGCTAGCCAACAGGGATTTTTTTTTAAAGTGTTTTTTTTTTTAAACAATATCTTTTATTTATAAACAACTTTTCCCAGCACTCACCTCTTAGTGAAAGAAAACCTGCCACCTTCAGAATTGCCTAAATCACATTAGCAGATAATAATAAATCCATGTATGGAATGCTTTCTAAGTACCAAGTCCCTTCCTGAATGCTTTACTCGTTATCTTCTTCAATCCCCAGACACCCGATGATAACAGGCTCTCTTATTTCCCTACTTTACAGATGAGGAAACCTGGTCATAAACAGACAAGCAGCTTGCCCAAGGGCACACAGTTTGAGATCCTTCTTGCTGTACCGCCATTGTGCTTGGTATTTCAAAAATCTACGCCCGCCGACCTCTGCTACTAAATACCTGGACAAAGGTGAGTGCCACACTGATTCCCTTCACTCAGTGGAAGGAGCTGGGAAGGTATAGTTACCTGTGTGCGCTCGAGTGGGCCTTGATGACCAGGTAGCTTCACTTCCTTCTTTCATTCATAGCTAAGGAACCGAGCCAGGAAAGGAAGTTTTGGATGCCTTAACAAGCCGAAGGAAGGAAATTAAAGTCCAAGCCCCCGGGGAAGAAACGCTAGGGAAGGTCTTCACTTGACCTATGACCTCCAAGCCTCAGAGGCACCAGTTTGTGGCCTCTGTTAATACAACCTGTGGCCAGTGATGTTACTATTGACCTCCTGGTTCAAAATATATTTTATTGATTTTTACAGAGAGGAAGGGAGAGGGATAGAGAGTTAGAAACATCAATGAGAGAGAAACATTGACCAGCTGCCTCCTGCACACTCCCCACCGGGGATGTGCCTGCAACCAAGGTACATGCCCTTGACCAGAATCGAACCTGAGACCCTTGAGTCCACAGGCCGACGCTCTATCCGCTGAGCCAAACCGGTTAGGGCAATGTTACTATTTTTATTTAAGTTAACCTTCATAGCGTATTCACTTGTGAGTATTGTCGTTCGTGTAATTATAAAAGTCTCTTCAAGTGCAGTGAGCGTCTAATCTGAACCAGATCGAGCGCCGATGGTCACGGAGTTTTCTGGGTTGGAAACTGGGTCCTCTCCGGTTTCCTGAGTTTGCTCAGTTGTTTGGATTCTGTGTCATATGTGATCAGCCTCCTCGCATATTTATTCTGGCAGCGGAAGGGGTAGGGTGTGAGGAAATCTCTTGGAGAAGTTTTCATTGAAAACTCTAAGTCTTACTTCGTGAGCACTTTCAGAGAGCAAAACACAACTCAGAAAATGTCAGGCTTATTGCTTTTCCATTTTCCTCCCCTAAGAAAACAGAGTTTCTTGGGGTTGTTCATGTTCCCCCTGTTTTTAGGTCTCCCCCCCACCTCTCCTCTTCCAGGCCCCCACAGCCTTTTACTCACTACGTTCAGTTTCCCTGGTCCTTTGCTATGCAACTCCCCTTGAGCCAGAGTGTTGGGTCTGTTGCTCTCTAATTTTTTTTTTCAGAGCAATTTTCCCAATATAAATTACACCCTCCATTACTTTTCTCTCCCTAGAGCAGTGAATCACATGCTAAGAAGCCATTAGGGTGGGGGCAGCTGGATACAGAGCCCGGAGGTTTGAGCCAGTGCCGGCTTGTCACCCTCGTTCTCTGTTTACCCTGCTGCTGCGGCAGCCAAAGTGCAGCCTGGTGCTGAAGTCACCAGCCAGGGAGGGCCTCTCGTGCCCCGTCTCACTTCACCATGTGCTCTGGGTACCTCTGCTTTAGAGCCCTGGCCTGTGCTTGGAGGCAAGAAGAAAAATTAGCTTAACCTAAGATGGCTTGACACTTGAACACGGGGCAGATTGTGTAAGTGCCCCAGGTCTGCATTCCTGTCTGCGTCACTACCCTCTGCCACGGGACTTCCAAGTTCTAGGACCATATTAATTTTCTGACATACTCTCAAGAGATGATCCACTGATTCGACTGTACCCTGCTGCGGCGGCAGCCAAAGTGCAGCCTGGTGCTGAAGTCACCAGCCAGGGAGGGCCTCTCGTGCCCCGTCTCACTTCACCATGTGCTCTGGGTACCTCTGCTTTAGAGCCCTGGCCTGTGCTTGGAGGCAAGAAGAAAAATTAGCTTAACCTAAGATGGCTTGACACTTGAACACGGGGCAGATTGCGTAAGTGCCCCAGGTCTGCATTCCTGTCTGCATCACTACCCTCTGCCACGGGACTTCGAAGTTCTTTCTATCAAGAGATGATCCACTGATTCGACTTGGGCATCTGCTCTGGATGTTGGTAGATGGGATGCCAGCAGGGGCTTGGAAGCGTGCTTGCATCACTGGACTTCTTCTCTTGCCCCTTTACTGTTTCCATGAGAAGAGCACGCCTGGGCTGGCCCAGGGCCCTAGGATGGGAATAAGAGATACGTGAGGCAGAGCTGCCCCCAGGAAGCTGCCCAGCCCAGCTCAGCCCAGCTGACAACAGAACCATCCAGCTGACCCAGAGATGCATGAACAAACCCAGCCACGATCGATCGGCAGGTCTGCCTAGCCAACCTTCACCCGAACTGCCGGTGCAGGAGCTGGAGTAGGAAGTGATTACTGTGTTAAGCCTCTGAATTTTGAGGTGGTTTGCTCCCCAGCAATTGCGTTGAGGTCATGGCCTCTGAGACTAATATGATGACGATATGAGCAACGAGAAACAAAAGCACTTTGCAAATGTCAAATTGTGAGGAGAGGGAATAGACTGTTGAACACATTCTGGACCTGGAACCTGAAGACCTGAGTTCAAAGCCACTCATGCCCCCAATTACTCTACACACTTGGGCAGATAATTTAAAATTTCTGGGTCTTACCATAAACTTACAGAGCTGGCTTGCAAACTCAAAGCCATGAGAGCTTCGAGAGTATGTCAGAAAATTAATATGGTCCTAGAACTTCATTGGTAGAGAGTTAAGAAAAAGACAGGGAAGGTGGGAGAGAGGTCAGAGAATAATTTATTTTGGTATAAATGAAATGTGATACCCCAAAAAGGGACAGATGTATGGAGTGGGGAATTGGATGATTTTGAAGAATATGTTTGATCAAAGGCTGAGAGGTAGACTTGGAGGCCAGATATAAAGTCCCATTTCTTCAGAGACCTGGAAGTGTGGGATTCATGAATGAATAGGAAGGAGAAAACCTTGAAAATGGCTTACAGAAGACACCTTCCCGACATCTCTTCACTTGGAGTACAGCAAAGCTGGAGGCCATTATGAAGTCTTTGGTCAGGTGGAGAGATAATAGTCCAGACTGGCAGTTCCATACACCTGTCTGGCTCTCTCTGAGCTACCTTTGATTTTTCTTGATTGTGTATTACCTGGCCTTGGACAAGCCGCCTATCCTGTGGACAAGTGGATGAAACACGGTTCATCTATTCATTATGTATCGGTTACATGCCACATTCCAGGAACTATCTGGACCCTGGGGATGAAACTGTCTTCAGACCTGGTTCCCGAGTTGGCTACCAACTCAGGTAGATGGATTTTTCATACATTGTCATTCATGTCAAAGCATATACCACTAGATTCTTTTTCCGAGGGGACAATTATAGCTCAGGGAGGTGAAGTGGCTTGTCCAAAGTCACAGAGCTTATAAGAGAAAGATGAAAATTTATGCCTTTTGACCCTGAAATCTGTCTTGTTTCTACTGAACTATGCTGCATCTTTTTGTTGGCTGTTTGTTTTTATTTATAAAAATGTTACTTTCACACTTTTTTTGGTGCACATTCCTGTACATAAAGTAGTAGAGTTCGGTGCTTGAGTTTCTTTTGTTCCCCGGAGAAGCTGTGTGATTTACAGTCAAAGGATTAAGGTCTCAGTTTCCAGGGCTTTGGAAGCTGGTTTCTCTATTGAATAAGGACTGAGCTTAAATGTACAAAAATAAGGGAATGTTTTAATCAAGTATGGTTCCTCGGCTCAGTGGGATACTTTGAAAACATTAAATATAATGACTATCAAACTTTACAGGTGAGTGTAGATTGTTATAGCTCCTCAAGGATATATGGGAAGAGATATAGGGGACCCAATGCTATCCTGGTCTAGAGCTCTTGATCCCCCACTATCTTGCCAGGGTATCCCCCAAAATGTATACACACTTTAACAGCTGATTCTATTACATTTTGAAAATGAAATGTATTTTAATAAACACTGCCTTTATAATTATTCAAAGTGTGTATACATTTGGGGGGGGGGCACTCTGGATATTTCAGAACTACAAATGAACAGGTCCTTTGTTCTAACAATTTTAGCTTGAGGAACTTATTCTACAGAAATATTCACAGACGTACAAAATTATTCAGAGCAAAATTATTTTTTTTTCTGGCAGGATATTGGAAATAACCTAAATGACCATCACTAGGGAACAGTTAAATAAATTATGGTGCCTCCTTAGGATGAATTAGCATGCAACTATGAAGAAGAAAGGAAAGAAGGAAGAGAAGAAGAGGAAGAGGCTCCTTATGCATTCACATGGAGCGTTTCCAAGGTGTCCTGTTCAATGAAGATGGTAGGATAATGCCCAGGGGAGAAAGGGAGTCCCTGGGATTCCAGGAGGAGGTCACTATGACTTACTGGATCAGAGGCAGTAAGTTTCTGCTTACTCTGTGCCAACACTTATTGACTACGTATTATATGGAAGGTGCTCGGGTATGTTTTATAGAATGTCTAAAATGATATGAGAGAAGTCCCTCTACCTACTACAGTCTAGTTGGGGTTGTACATACTCTTTATATATAAAGATTAAAACCATCACATGATCAGTGAATGAATGTGGAATCAGCTTGAGGTTGGGATGAGGACAAAGTTTGAGCTTCAGGGAATCGGGAACCTTCAGAAGATTTTCACTTGAGTTAGAGAAGGGTTTAAACAGAAGGATTGTGGGAGCCAGGCAGGGCCTGCCAGGCGGGCCTCTCTTCGCAGAAACTGAATTTAGAACAAGCAAGGTGAAGTTTGGGGAAAATAGGACCACTTTGGCTGGAGACGGGGAGACGAGCTTAGAGAGCAACTCAGCGATAAGAGCAGAATGGTAGGTTGGAGCAATACTGAGGAGGACCTGGGACGCCAAGATAAAGATCTGGAATTTTGTGCAGGCATGTGAACCAGGAGCAACATGCACAAAACAATGATTTGGAAGTGTAATCTGGCCACCCTGTGCCAAGTGGTTAGCAGCGGAGGAGGTCTGAGGTTAGGAGACGCCTGAACACCTCACCAGCAGTCCAGGGACGAGGTGCAGAGGCCTAAACTAGGTCGGTGGCTGGGAAAGTGGAAAAAGAGAGAGAGACGCTAAGGCTTTATTTCTCAGCCGACCCTGCCTGGACATGACTGTGCATTCTCCGGACAAGTCATAATTATCTTGGGTTTTATTATCTTGGGTTTTACAGGTGTATGACATTGCTGT